TCCCCCCACCACACCATCTCCACCATGCCTCCCATCTCCCCACCCCCACATCCCCCTGCAGGCACCCCACCTCCACCACACCCCCACCCCATCTCCACTGCGGTCCCCACCTTGCCACCTCTGCTGCAGGCCCTTCATCTGTGCTGTGCCCCCTATTCTGGCCCTCCTGTGGTGGGCCCTGGCCATTCCCAGGGCTCCTCAGAGCCAGCCCTCCCCCCCAGTAGTCCTGCTGGACTGACTGAGGTAGAGGGGCCCTGTCGGGGAGCCAGTCCCACCCCAGCTGCCTGCCTTTCCTCGGAGCCCCACTCGCCATTAGCTGGGGCCAGGGTTCAGCCTGATAAAGACGGGCTGTTGTTCTGTGTCAAAAAATCAATAATCTCAGTGATTGTTCCGAGAGATAGTGAGACAGCCCTCGGGCACCAGCTGGGCAGGCGGGCGGGCGAGCAGGATGGGGAGGGATGCCCTCCGCCTGCACCCTCACCATGCAGCAGCCCTGGCCCACCATCTGTACGTGGTGGACCTCCCCCTGCCCCCTAGTCACATGGCCAAGGTGGCAGCAGGAGCCATGGGTCTGGGAGACCAGCTACTGCCCGGCGGTGAGAAGGGAGGTGCCCGCGTGGGGCCAGCAGGCCACCAGCTGCTCTGTCTCCCAGGCTGTGGAAGGGCAGCCATCCAGCTGACTCTGGTCCCAGATGGACCCACCGTGCCATGGTGGGCCTTTGGTGCCAAAGGTGGCCTTTTGTGACATGGGCCACCTTTCTCTGATTCACTGGCCAACATTTGCCATGCTCCAGGTCCTCAGACCCAGCTTCAGACCCATGGCCGCAGGTGGACGTGCTGGTGGGGACACTCTTGGGTGGGTACAAGAGACCAGGAAGAGACAGTCTGTGAGGGGATGGTGTTCCCCCACCATGCGGATGGGAGACAGGCCTGGAGTGATCAGGGAGCCCACAGTCCCAGGGAGAGTCCTGGCCAGGCCCGTGGCCACCTCGCCACCCGCCTGTGTCATCAGGGCCCATCTGCCCATGCCACCTCACAGCGCCCCCTGCTGTCAGCCCCCAGAACTGCTCCCCCGAGCCGGGCGAACCTCTGGAACTGAACCCCGACTTGTCTGTACCTCAGCACCCAAGCCTTCTCTGCCAGCCCTTCCCTCACCCATGGAAGGTTCTAGAGCTCTGCCAGGTGGGGCTGCTCAGATCCTGAAGTTGCCCTCCTCTCCCACTCTTTTTGTTCCCTTTTTGTTACTTTTATCAAAAGCAAACAGCGTGATTCCAAGATAAGGCCAGCTGGCCCTCAGAGCCAGGGCGGGCCAAGCAAGCGATGGCTGATTAGATAAGAGTGTGCAGTGGGGATCTGGGTGGGCTCCCATTCACCAACCATGGAGGGGAGGGGCAGCCAGGGCTGACCTTTGAGCTCGGGAGGCCACCTAGCCTTTAGCCTAGAGGTGCGAGCCCTTTAAGGAGAGCCTAGCTACAGGTGGAGCAGCGACTTCCCCAGGTGAGGAAGCCAAGACCTTAGGGACCAGGCACTGGGCATTGCAGGCCTGGTGTGGAACCCAGGTGGGAGCAGACAAGGCCCAGAAAGGCTGCGTGTGGGCCTCATCCCTGTCAGCCGGGTGGGGTGCAAGCATTGAGCCCCACAGATGTGCGATGCCCACGTGGAGGTGAGGGCAGACAGCTGAGGGACACACCATGGCTGGTGTTGGTGGAAGTCAGTCGTGTGGCTGTGGAGTGGTCACCATGGCTCCTGGAGAGCTGGCCAGAGCACCCCTAACCTAGGGGGTGTTTGGAGTCTGGGGAGGAGTGCCCAAGCCCTGCCAGGCTTCCTCAGCCCCAGTGACAGGGCACTGAGCAGGGGACCCCTCCTAAGCTCAGAGATACCTCTGAGGCCCAGGAAGGGGCCTCTTCTGGGGTCCCTCACACATCGGCACTGGCATATTCAAATCACAGCAGCTGGGGTTAGTGTCTCATTTCACAAACAAGCAATCCGAGGCACAGAGAGGCAGAGAAAAGGTAAAGTGGTGATGGGGGTTGGAGGTAGGGAGACCAATGGGTTTAACAACAGGGTTAGGGGGTATAGAGGCCCAGTGGGGTGGGAACAGGTTTGGGGACCCAGGAACACTCGGGGCCAGTGGCTCTGGGCTGCTCTGGGCCCGGTCCTGTGCTGCTTCTCAACTGGGTTCCAGGAGAGACAGCAAGAGGGACAGCTGGCCACATAGACACAGTCCCTGTGCCTCACAGCCACCAGCCATCAGGCCCGTCAGCCATGGGCATGGCCCTGTTGTGCAAGTGGCTGGGCCGAGACACACTTGGGGAGCTCATGGACGCTAGATGTATGGCCGGCCTCGTCGGAGGGTCCTAAGCCAGGCCCTGCTGCTGTCCCCCTGCCCCCGACACCCACGCCTGCCATCCTCGAGAGCTTTGTCAGAGCGCTTGAGACCCAAACAGACCTGGGGGTTTAAACATGGTTAAAGCCCTCAGCTGTTATTCAGAAGGTCAACGGTTTCAGTCCACAGGAGACCAGTTGACAGTTGGCCATTGTCAAGACCACAGCTAGAGCCTCGGGGCAGGGCGGGGGGGGGGCTGTCTGTCTCAAGGGTGCTGGGAGTGGCATGGGTTCAGCAGCATGCCATGGCTGGAGTTTCACCTTTGAGTCTTCACAGGTCCTTGAGACAGAACTGAATCCTTGCACAAGGTGTTTGTTCTGAAAACACTCAGCTTTTGGCAGTTCATGAGCCCTTGTCCCCCAGCTGGGTCTGTTGTGATGGCTCCTGGCCCCCAGAGGAGGTCTGCAGGCACACCAGTCAGAGTGCCTGCAGCCCCCATCCTCGGTGCAGATGGGAAGGTGTGGGTGAAGAGAGTTGTGAATGGAGATGTGGGAAGGAGAGAGTGAGTGAGAGGAGTGAATGGGAGAGGTGTTAGTGAGGAGGTTTGAATGGGAATTGAGAAGAGAGGCATGGATGGGGGTGTGGAGGTGTGTGGACCGGGTAAGTGTGAAGGAAGAGGTATGAATGAGCAAGTGTGAGCAGAAGTCAGAGGGGACAGGTGTGAATGGGCCATGTAAGTGGAGATGTGTGAACAAGAGAAGTGTCACTGAAAGGTGTGAATGTGCGTGTGTGACTGGAGAGTGAATGGGGAGGTCTGGATGGGAGAGGTGTGACTAGAGGTGGGAGGACAGGAAGGCAAGGACAGACTCCAACAGAGAAGTGGGAACAAGCGGCCCAGCACTGCCAGAAGCCAGCCCTTTGGTACCTGTATGTTTCTAATCGCCCAGAGAACTGGAGCGAGCCTGGGCTCTGGGTGCTCCCTGGACCCTCCTCAGCCCCAGCCTCGCTCATGGGCACCCCCACCCTGTGGGCTCCATGCAGCCGTGAGTGCAGGGCAGGAGCAGAGGCCTCGTGTTCAAATCCCAGTGTCGTGTCCAGCTCTGTGGCTCTTGGGCCTCACTGTCCTCATCAAGGGGAGTAAGGAGAGGGCCATGCCGAGTAGCCGGGCCACAGCCCTGTGCACACATGTGGGGTCCCCTGAGCATCCAGGATGGACAGGGGCAGTAGTGCGTCCTCCACAGCAAGGTCCCATGCCGTCCTGGGCAGCCGTCACGGGGCCAATGGAGGTGGCAGAGTGTCCAGAGCAGGCGGGCAGGGACAGCCATGGCCAGGTCCGCGGGCTGGTGGAGGGGCTCGGCCTCCCACAGCTCCTCTCCTCCCATGTTGGTTTGCTGCCACCTTATCTGCCTGGGGAAGACAAAGCCCCAGCTAAAGCCTTACTAGGCCTCTCGGTGCATTTACACACTATCGCTGCCATTAGGCGGCGTTTTATCTGATCATCAGGCCCATTAAGGTCACAGACCGCTGAGTGGGACTCCAGGAAGTGGGGCCACTGCCCGAGCTCTGGCTGGAGAGCAGGCCAGGCCCAGGGAGGCCTCTGTAGCCTGGGCAGCAGCCCAGCAGGCAGGAGGTGGCTGGTATGAACGGAGCAGCACAGCACCAGGGCCAAGGCTCGGGAAGGTTGGTGGTGTCCACTGGCCTCCTCAGACCTCACTGCCCAGGAGAGGTGTTGCGGGGGGATCTGGGGGATGCTGGCCCACCGCCCCTCCTGAACTGAGGCCAGCCCTGCCCCCAGGCCACAAAGGTGGCTGAGGGCCCATGTCTGATACAATCAGGACCCAGAACTTGCCAGAAAACAAGGGGAGGCCCCTGGAGTCTCCGCCTACCCCCCAGTCTGCTGCTGGAGTTGCTCAGGCGCCTGGCCCTCCTCCCTGTGGGCTGGTCTTCCCACAGGGTGAGTCCACTTGACCTTCAACCTGAATCAGCAGAAGGATGAGGTTGCCTGCCCAGCTGAGGAAACCAAGGCCTAGAGGGTCCACAGCTGCCTCACCGGGGCCGTACAGGGTGGCGAGGGGTCAGTGGGGGCGGAGAACGAATGCCCGAAGGCCACTGGGTGAAGGGCCCAGCAGGCGTGGACTGGCCACTCCGCATCTTCCCCCTCTGGATGCGGGGTCAGGATTCAGGCCATGGGCAGAGCTGCAGACTGCCTGCTGTCCAGCTCCGGGAGGCCCTGGCTCATGACCACATCACTCCCCCCTCTGTGTGTCTTCTCATGGCCTCCTTCCTTTAACAAGGACACCATGTGTGGATGTGCGCCCTGCACTCCCCCACCCCTACGCCGCATGAATTGCATCCTCCGTGCCCACTTGACGCTGTGGTTCGTGGCCATGCTCTGAGTGTGTGTCCAGCACAGGTGGGCTTGCACACCCCACCGGGGCCACCCGAGGCCCAGCAAGTCTGGCGTGCGGTAGTCATGTGCTCAAGCTGCTCACCTGCCTGAAAGAGCAGTCCAGGTCCCCTCACCACCAGACCCTGACTGCTGGCCCACGCCGTCACAGCCAGTGGCCCTGGCTCTAACCCTGGTACCAAGGCACAGCCACAGGACGTGTCCCTGCACTGCCCCCAGCAGCTAGCTGGGTGACCACCCACCTCTCACCTCACTCTCTCTCCCCAGACGAGCTGGAGCTGGTTCTACAGGAGGACGGGCAGCGGTGCCTGCGGGCCCGGAGTGCCCTGGCTGAGGGCTTTGCCTGGGGCCCCTTCCAAGGCAGCATCCAGAGTGGACCCTCATCCCCCAGGCAGGAGCATCTGGTAAGGACCCCACCCCATCCCACTGAGAACAGCCAAAGGGTCCTCCAGCCACAGTTAGACCTGGCCACTTCTGGCAAAGGGGAGAGAAGCCATGGGGTGGCAAAGCCTGAGGGCCTGTGCCTCAGTGGGCCTGTGTCTCAGAGGGCCTGTGCCTCAGTGGGCCTGTGTCTCAGTGGGCCTATGTCTCAGTGGGCCTGTGTCTCAGAGGGCCTGTGCCTCAGTGGGCCTGTGCCTCAGAGGGCCTGTGCCTCAGTGGGCCTCTGCCTCAGAGGGCCTCTGCCTGAGAGCTTCCTGGAGTGATATGGCAGTCTTTGGGACACAGGTGGGATGATGGGAGGACTTCCTGGAGGAGGCAGTGAGGGTCGTGAGACCTCAGGGGACACATGCTAGAGGGCTTCCTGGAGGAGGGTCTTTCAGCAGCACCTTCACAGCAGAGTCCAGGCTACTGAGGAGGGGAGTCTCAGGAGCAGACCCACAAGGAGGGGTGGGTCTGGGAAGGTGGGGGGTACTCGGCAGGACTTCCTGGCCTTGAGCAGAGTGGGCTTTGGTCACCTCATATTCTCGCTGTCCTCGCACCCTCACTGTCCTGGGCAGAACTGGACCTGTGTGGGGGCCACTTTAGGTCAGGGTGGGCACTGTGTGCTCAGCACTGCTGGCACGGGGGCGAGACCAGCTCTGCCTCCACCTGGGGCTCTGACTGGCCCTGGGTGGGCGTGTCCCTGGGCCTCTGCCCCTCACTGTACTTGCCCCCTATCCCGAGCAGTCCCATTCACTCCGAGGCCCTAGGTGTGTGGTGAATGGGACGAAGGTGGGAAGGGAATCAATTTACAGACCAGTAGGTGACCCCTGACCCCTGGTCTGAGTCTCCGGTGGGACCTGCAGGACCAGGTGATGGAATGAGCCTAGCCGCCCTCATTAAGGGCAGGAGCCTGACGTTTACAGCTGGTTCTTGAAGTAGTGAGCTCCCCATTACTGGAGCCATACAAGCAGCATGACTTGTTGGCGGTGGGAAGGAGGAGCCAGATGGGTGAAGGCAGAGATGGCTGACCAGTGGGAGATTAGGGGTCTCAGCCTATTCTGAGTGGGGCCTGTTCCTCCCTCACCTCTCCGAGGCTCCCACTTTTACTACCTAAAATGGACAGGTGTGTGTTCCAGACATTGTGACCCCCACCTCTAGTGTGCGTACACACCCCTAGTTTTCTCCTCCCAGTTCAACTGGAGAAGTACCACTGGCCCCATGTTACAGATGAGAAAAATGAGGCTTTGGGAAGTCCTGGGACTTGCTCAAGCTCCCAGGGGCAAACAGCAAGGAGTCCAGGAGCCACTTCTTCCCGGCCCCACAGGACGAGAGCCTGGCCACGTGTGTTAGCCTCCAGCAGGTCATCATCCCACACATCCCACCCGCCACCTCTGGACTTGGCCACAGAAGCCTCTTCCCCCTCTGCCTTTCAGGGGTTCCTGTCCCTCTCAGACAGGGGTGCAGGTCACTTGGCATGAAGTTAGAGACTTCCCAGGGTGGAGAGGAGCCGCAGAGCCTCCCCCTCTCTTCCAGCTTTATCTCCCCCAGAATTAAATCCTTGATTAACCCTTATCTCCCCGGTGGTCACTATCTGGGCCTTGGCGCCGCCTGTCCAGACACACGGCACAGTGTGATTGATTTCACAGAGATAGGCACCACAGCCTGATACGCCATTTATTGTCTAAATATTTTTGCTAGCATTTCAGCGGGCTCCTTATCAAGCTGAGCTGATGAGCTGCAGTGCCGGGCTCCCCTCCCTCCCGCCGGCTGCCCCAGATATGGCCTATCAGCCCCTGGCCCATCTGTCTCCGCTGTGGGGAGCAGGAAGGGGGTGCTCTTCGGATGTGGCCACCCTTCCCCACCCGGTTCTCCCCTCCCAGGCCCAGGGGCCCTTCACAGGCCGGGTGATAGGATGGCGACACAGCCCCCCACACCAGGCGTGAGGGTAAATGTCCCTGGAGGACACCGAGTACAGGAAGCCCTTGCTGGGTGCCCAGAATCTTCACACTCTGAGTGCAAGTCGCTACCCTGACCCAGACCCTGTGGAACCAAGGGCGGGGGGGGGGTGGTGGACAGTCCAGCCCACAAGTACAGTCTTATAGGGAAAAGATGCAAGTGATAGAAGAGGGAGTGGGTGAGTGGATGGACAGGCAGAAGGGTGGATGGGTAAAGAGGTGGGCAACAGATGCATGGATGTGTGGGTAGATGCTGAGTGAGCGGACAGATGGTCACAGAAGGATGGAGGTGTGGCTGGGTGGGAGGACAGAGGGACAGATGGATGATGGGTGTGTGGGAGGACAGGGGTGGACGGATGGATGGATGATGGGTGCGTGGGAGGACAGGGAGGGAGGGAGGGATGGTACGTGGGAGGACAGGGGTGGATAGATGCGTGGGTAGGTGAATGAAAGTGGGCAGGTGGATGGATGGGTGCATAATGGATGTGTGGCGGGGTGGGGGGTGAGTGGACAGACAGATACAAGGATAAATGGATGGAGAGGATGAATGTATGAGACGGGACGGTTGGGTAACGTGAGTAGGTGTTGTATGAGTGTGTGGTTTCCTGAGTGGATGGATGGACCAGTGGAGGGGTGGATGGACAGATGGACGGGGGAGGGGGGGTAAATAGATGGACAGATGGGCTGGTGGAGGAGTGGATGGCTGGGCAAGGGGTGTGGTGGACAGACTTCCAGCACGCAGAGGACCACAGCAGCCTGGGCTCTGGCTTGCACAGCCACCTCTGTCTCCAGGCCTGTCCTAACTGTAGGAGGACTTTCAGGGTCTGGCGCAAAGAGGCTCAGTCAGGAGGTCCTGCGCCAAGACTCAGGCGGGCACTTGTAAGACAGCTGAGGGCCGAGTGAGTGGGGAGGCCATCTGCCCCAGCCTTTGCCACCACCCTCCTGTGAACCTGCTGCTGCCCCTTAGATCCCTGAGGTGATCGAGTGGTCACCCTCCGCTGCCCCACTGAGCTCCTGAAGGACAGTCAGCTGTCAGGACGGCCACCCCACCCAGGATGGGAGCTGGTCCCCTGCCCCACCCTCCTGAGGGGTGCACATTGGGGACCAGCCCCCCCCCCATGAAGTTGTAGCAGCGGATGCGGCCCAGATAGGGTTTCTGATGGTTATCGGCCAGCACAGACGCAGACACTGACCTCTTTGTTGGGGAAACAAGGAACGCTCTCAGACCCACGGAGAATTTAAAGTGGCCGCTACCCTGTGAGGGGCAGTCCTGCCAGTGCAGAGGGGTGGCGGGGGGCACAGCACAGGCAGCAGGCTCACCACCTCAGACATCTTGGCAGAGGGGGTGGGAGTTTGAAAGTCTGCCCCCAGCAGCACCTGGCCCTATGGCCCAGTGGTCCTCGCCACCACCACCCTGCACAGGGCAGAGGTTCTGGGCTGGGGAAGAAGGTCAGTGGTGTCCCCAGAGACCCTGAGGTGGGTGTGGCTTCCTGCTCAGTGATAACAGCACTCCCTGGGCCGGGACGTGGGCGGTGGGCCGCAGTGGACTCCCCGTGCAGGGACCTGGGCGGTGGACCGCAGTGGGCTCCATGCCGGGACCTGGGCGGTTGACTGCAGTGGACTCCCCGTGTAGGGATGTGGGCGGTGGCCTGCAGTGGGCTCCATGCAGGGACGTGGGCAGTGGGGCACAGTGGACTCCCCTTGCAGGGCCCTGGGTGGTGGGCCGCAGTGGGCTCCCCATGCAGGGACGTGGGCGGTGGGCCGCAGTGGACTCCCCATGCAGGGATGTGGGCAGTGGGCTCTTCCAGCAAAGACCTGGGCAGTGGGCTCCAGCATATTCTCCTTTGCAGGGACCTTGGTGGGTGGGCTCAGAGAGCTCTGGGGCAGCCTTCTGGGGTCCAGTGCCTGGGCAGCCCGTTGACCGTACCACCTCCAAGAAGTAGGGCCAGCCAGGGAGGGGCCATGGTGGCCACCCTGAGAAAGGGAGTGCTGGTTCTGCACCCAAGCCTGCAGCTGGTCCCCCACTCATTCCAGCCAGTGTCCCTCTATAACTGGGGTACAGGCCCCCCAGAGAGAGTGACTGGGGCCCCACAGTCCTTGGAGTGTGCTAGCCCCCACCCCACGGCTCCCTGCTGGACACAAGCAGCGTGTGCCCACCTGCCTCCACCACACTGCGCCCTGGACACAGGCTGCACGTGGGCGCCCCTCCCGCAGAGCGGCCGTGGCGTGCAGCGTCAGCAGAGCTGTGGCTTTATCATGCGGCGAACACTCTGCTCCCCACAGTGATAAGCGTTAAACCGACTGGCGGGCTGTCAGTCTCAGTTTGAGGGTTTAGAAATATTGGGACGAATAATTAGATTTCATATCGTTACCGCAGCAGCCGCCCAGGGATCAGGCAGATTAATTTTCTCCCCCTCCTCCGCTCATTATTATTCATTAGGACTCGGGGAGGCCGTGGAGGGACCGCAAGCCCTCACCACTGTGCTGGGAGCTACAGGGTCCTGGGCGCCAGCGCGGGGTCCGGGAAGAGGCTGTGACCCCGAGATAGCGGCGAGGCGGGGCCCTGTGTGGAATCCAGCCCTGCCTGCAACCTAGCACTGCCCCCCCCAGGAGTCCAGCAGACACCCCCCAACCCCAGAGGACCCTACACGAAGGGCTGGCATTGCACTGTAGACACAAGTGCTGGCCACGTGTACACTGAGCAGCTGACCCGAAAGCCAGGGGGCCTGAACCAGGGTGGATATGTGTGGGAGCCCCTAACCCCCAGGGAAACCGGGTCACAGGGAGGTGGTCACTCATTCACAGCTCCCAGCCAGCAGTCCTTACATCCCAAAGACAAGTTGAAGCGAGCCCTCATCCTGGCACCCCCACAGTGAGGGGACATCCCACCTGCAGAGGAGGACCCAGGCTCAACACTGTCTATGCACTCCAGTGGGAGAAGGGGCCTGGCCAGCTCCCCACAGTCCAGGGGGCACTGGACTCCAGGAGTCACTGCCAGAAGCTACAGGGCTGGTGGTGGGAAGGAGCCCAAAGGGACACAGAGGGGTCTCGGGGAGGAGCGGCCCAGGCTCCGGACTCCACTGTCCTGAAGGCTGCTCCCTCGGGAGCCCAGGGAGGGGACAGTGTCAGAGAGAACACAGTCCTGGGTGTAAACTCCGGTTCAGTCGCTCGTGCTCTGCAACTCCACGCTCGCCACTTAACCTCTCTGGGCTTCATGTCCGAGAGAGTCCAGCACTGATGGGGCAGGCTAGGGCCCTGCCAGAGCACCTCCTGATGGGCCCACACTGACCAGCAGCGGGGTGCAATGGGCGGCGGGCTGAGAAGCGGATGTGCGAGTCCCCGGGGGAGAACATGCGTACTCTGCACTGGCCATGTCCGAGTCAGGAGCATGACCGCTCTGTCCCTCCTCCACAGAGCCCACCCTTGACCCTGCAGCTGGACGACGAGGCTTGCTGGCTGAAGATGCTGCCTCAGGCCACCACTGAAGCCGAAGCCAACTTGCTCATCTACAAGAAGGGTCAGTGTCCCTGGCGCTGCCCTCGTCCCTCAGGCCTGCAGGCGGCCTACGCTCTCAGCTCTCCTGCGCTGGCCTTAGAGGGGCAGCAGCCTGCTGGCCACAGGAGCCTGACCCACTGCACCCTAATGGCACCCATGACCTGGGGGGGGGGACAGAAACCAGGGTGTCTGCTCTTAGGGACCTCAAAGAGGTGATTAGGGGACAGTGGAAGGCCCTCACAGACCAGATCACTAGTGGAGTACAGAGGTGAGCCCCAGCCCAGCTCCCCAGAGGCCCTGCCCAGAACCTTTGGGGCATGGGGAAGAGGCACCCCAGGAAACAGTGTGAGCTAGGAGCAGTCACAGCCCCTCAGCTCCTGGTGCCACAGACCGCTAGAGAGGCTGCTCAAGGGGGCCTGGCCATGCTGATGCTCACAGGGGTGGACTTGTCCGAGAGGCCACTCGGTGGTGGGTACCGTTTTCTGCTTGGACAGGCTCACCAGCCAGTGGACCCCTCCTGTCTGGCCTGAGTACAGAGAGATCTGGGGTCCACAGCTCCTTCAGGCCCACCCTGTTTATCAAGGAGGGCACTCCAAACCCTGGGGCCAGGCCTGGCCATGGTTCAGCTGAGAGCAGCTTGGCCAGCCTAGAGTTCTGTTGGCTGAGGCTGCCCCCTGCAGGCAGCTGTGGGAACATCGGCACCTCACAGCTCCGTCAGCGCAGCCGGTACTTCGGTGCCTCCCAGCTCCGCCAGCCTCTGGCCGCTTCTCCAGAGACCAGAGTGACTGCCTGGGGCTTTTACTAACATTCAGGGCAGCTGTGCTGCTGCTGAGTCCAGGGCCAAGGGGCACCCTGTGCTAGGGCTCATGAACACGTGCAGCCCACAGCCACCCCAGTACTCATTCCTTTCCCCTTGCTTCAATGGGCCAAGCAGAGGGGCCTGGGTAGTCTCTGGCTCACTCATCACACGATGCCGTCTCCTCACAGATGACGCCCTCTGGTGCAGGACCACCAAGCCTGTGCCGCCAGGTGGGCTTCTACGAGGACGCCTTGAGCCCAAGCCCCACCGGGCCCCCAGCCCGCCCAGGAAGAGGGAGCCAGGAGAAGTGGAGGGCCAGGCACCCGCAAACTCGGACATCCAGCTACTGCCCCAGCAGGCTGGCATGGCGTCCATCCTGGCCACAGCGGTCATCAACAGTGAGTTCACCTCATCCAGCTGCCCAGAGCTCCACATCACGGGGGCGGCCAGGCCGAGCTGATAGCTGTGGGATCAGGTGTACCAAGGAGGAGCTGGCCAAGGGTGGGAGGGAGCAGAGCCCCCAGTGAAGTTGGGCAGGGGGAGGGGCACGAGACAGAGCTAACAGGTCCAGCCCCCATGTCCACCAGTAGACAGCCCCAAGCAGGCAGCAGTGGTGAGCGGAGGTCAGCCATGTGGCCAGAGAATGTGGAGAGGTCATTGCCTTGCAGCCCAAACACAGTCCCAGGTCTCCCCAGCTGGTGGCAAAAACAAGGACAGAGTCCTGCCTGGCTCTGGGCACTGTGGACTACTTGGTACCCAGTGCAGTCCATCACATATCAGGGGGTTAACTGAAGGGTTGGTGGTTCCAATCCACCTGCTGCTTCTTGGGACAGAGAGGGGCATTCTCCTTCTTAGAGACTTAAGGTCTCAGAACCCAGTGGAGGGTCCCCGTCACCATGAGCTAGAATCAACTCGATCGCAGTGAATTTGGTTTTGACGCATTGACTCATGAAGGTCACATTTCAGCCTTCCATATGAACGATTACCTCAACATCCACTAAACAAAACCCACCACGACTGGACCAGTGAGCACTATGGGGAAATGGGGGAGATTGACACTGTCAGAGATTCCCTTCAACTAGGAGTCAGATTCAACGCTCACGCCAGGAGCAGTCCAGAAATCCAACAACATCGCAATGGGAAAATCTCCTGGGAAAGACCTCGTTGGAGAGCAAGCACATAACTTTGAGAACTAAGGTGCATTTGACTCAAGGATGCAACAGATGGACAGTGAATAAGGACGACTGAAGCCCAGTTGCTGCCTTTGCATTAGATGGTGACGAAACACCACAGCTGTGCCATCGCCTGCCAGGCAGTTAACAAGTGTGACACGGAAGAAGCACCATGGGGCGCCACGTGGGACTTGCTCTCAGACACTGTGGACGTATTCACGAGGGGTCAGTCAGTTCTTACAGGGACGTTGTGCCTGGTAGAGGGTCAGTGAAAAAGATGACGACCGTCAGGAAAATGGATGCACACAGTGGCTGCAGTGAAGACCTCACACAACAACAGCTGTGCGGACAGGGCCAGGCTAGGCGGCCTTCTGTCACGCGTGGGGTCACCGTGAATCAGAACAAAGATGCACCCTCCTCCCCGGAGACAAGGCCAGCCCTGGCTAAGGGCTGTGGTGTGGGAAGACTGGGTCTGTCATTTCTCACAAGGACACCCTCAGAACCCGTGTGGGTTCTTCTAAGAATTTCATTTCGGGGAGCTCTGGTGGCCTAGTGGCAAGAACACGGTTCGAATCCACCAGATGCTCTGCCGGAGAAGGAGGCGCAATATCCTCCTGTACCAGTCAGATCTGATTTGACGGTACACGCACACAAAATAATAAAAAATTTAAAAAAAATTTCATTTCATCCGCTCACCCTACAGTCATTACCAGCCACTGAGAACCACCTCACACCCCAGGCCTGGGGTTGCCAAGGGCGGCAGTGGGTCCACAGGGGTTGTTAGTACTCCAGAGAGCAGCTGAGTGGTTCTAAGTGCGGAGGGGGAAGAGGGACTCAGATGTTGACACTCCAAAGAGGAAATCCAGCAGGATGGGATGATAAGATAGGGCCACCTCACTGGAGCACATGGAAAGTTGCTGGGGGCACCACAGTGTCCATGGACTTCAGGGAGGTGGTGTCCAGGGAGTGCAGGGGGCTGGTGTCCAGGGAGCACAGGGAGGTGGCTGGAACCACCAGGCAGGCTGAGGCCAGGGGGCAGGCATGCTGCTTGTACAGGCTGCAAGAACCGTCAGGGTTGGGGCCTAGTTCATGGTCATTTCAAGCACCATGGTCACCCACACCAAGTGTCAAAGCTACGATTGGACTCAAAGGGGCCTCTCTCTCCCTGACCCCAGCTAGAAGCACTGTTCCCAGCCCGCAGTGACCTTGTGGATCTGAAGGTCACACACACAGCCTCTCAGGCCCAGGATCCTGCTGGTCAAGAACACAGCTACCCAGAGACCCCAGTGTAAAACAAAGTAGTGGAAACCGCTCATTCGGAAGATTTCGACCACGTGGCCAGTGGCTGGCCGGGAGCTGCAAGTGGAGGGTGTGTAGATGGTGCGGAAGCAGGAGACAGAGGGCTCCCTGCTGGATTTCCAGCCCTCCATCCACACATCACCAAAGCTGCGGGCTGACTGGCCACCTGGGGTCCCTGTGCACCTGGACTCGTGCACATACCTGTTCATACACACTCCCATTCATTTGAGCCTCTTTGTTCACAAGCATACACACCATCTCCTTTGTGAGCGCCCATGCAGCCCCTTGGTCCAGCATGTAACTTGGCTACAGATACCACCCGCCCCGTGTCCAGCCCCACTCCTGCAGCCGTCCACTAGAGGGCACCCACAAGCCTCCCTTCCACCGCACGAGACCCTGGCAGTCACTGGGGGTCTGATGGCTGGGAAGGTCCCCTGGTCACAGTCCTGGGGGGCATGGGCTCTGTCCAGGAGTTAATCACGGCGTGCTGGACACAGACTGCAGGGACATCGGGAGCCTGTGGGAAGTGATGACAGGGTTAAAGGATCACAGGAAGGGGAAAGGTTGGGGACCGGAGGGACTGCAGGGGTCCTCACTCTGCACTTTTCTAGGTCACTGGAAACAATCAGGGCAAAGCTCTCAGCCAGCAGGGCCTGTGGCCTTGTCTTCGGCGTGGACTTTGCCCTACGGCCCAGTGCACTCACGGGCTGCGTGTCCTGTCCCCACAGAGGACATCTTCCCCTGCAAGGACTGCGGTATCTGGTACCGAAGCGAGCGCAACCTGCAGGCCCACCTGCTGTACTACTGCGCCAGCCGTCAGGGCGCAGGCTCCCCTGCCCCCGAGGAGAAGGCCAAGGAGACCTACCCCAACGAGCGCGTCTGCCCCTTCCCGCAGTGCCGCAAGAGCTGCCCCAGCGCCAGCTCCCTGGAGATCCACATGCGTAGCCATAGCGGTGAGCCACAGCCTGCGCCACGGCCACTGGTGCCCTCTGGACACGCCCTCCAGTGCCACGCCACTGGCCATGCTATCCCTTCTGGCACCCCACCCTCACGTTATGCCCTCTGGTGCCCCACTCCACTGTCCATGCCATGCCGTCTGGCACACCCCACACCATGCCACGCCCACTGTCCCCACCTCACCAGCCCATGCCCCGCCCCTGTGCCACACCCACTGTCCCCGCCTCACCCTCCGATGCCCCGCCCCCGTCCTCCCCCGCCCTGTGTTCCAGGAGAGCGTCCCTTTGTGTGTCTGATCTGCCTGTCCGCCTTCACCACCAAAGCCAACTGCGAGCGCCACTTGAAGGTGCACACAGACACCTTGAGCGGTAGGTGGGCGGCAGCAGGCGGGAGGCCAGGCAGGGCCGCGCCCTCCACCCAGGTCCCTGACGCCCACAGCTCCCTTGCAGGTGTGTGTCACAGCTGCGGCTTCATCTCCACCACAAGGGACATCCTCTACAGCCACCTGGTGACCAGTCACATGATCTGCCAGCCCGGGTCGAAGGGTGAGCTGTACGCGCCATCTGCGGGGTACCCGGCCGCCAAGCCCCCTGCGGGTGAGTGACTCGCGAAAGGTGGAGCCCATGCCCCGCCAGGTGCTAAGCCTCCTCCCCGGACTCCCAGCTGGTTCTCTCCTCACTCCCCCCTCATGGTGCTCATTTCTGGCCCGGTTCTAGCCTGAAGTGGCTCTCTGGGGTCTCTTGCAGACAGTCTGGTCGGCTTCCCTCAGCACACGGCCTTGCACGGCGCCTTGGCCTCCACAGACCTGGCGCCCATCCCATCACCGGGCCTGGAGAGGAAGGCCCCTGCCGAAACCACAAATGGAGAGGCCTGGGCAGCCTCCCAAAACGGGAACGAGGCCCCTCCCGTCCACCGGAGCATCAAGGTGGAAGCAGAAGAGGAGCCTGAGGCTGCGCAGTCAAGCCCTGCGCCGGGGGCACCCTCACGCACACCGTCCCCAAGCAGCCCCCCAGCAGTGCGAGTCAAGACAGAGCGCTCCAGCCCCTCACCTGCCTGCAGCCCTGCCCCCGGAGAGCTGGGCGTGCCGGCTGGGCCCCTCTTTCTGCCACAGTTTGTTTTTGGCCCAGACACAGTCCCACAGGCCTCGGAGATCCTGGCCAAGATGTCCGAGCTGGTGCACAGCCGGCTCAAGCAGGGCCAGGGCACACCGGGACTCTTCACCGGGGCACCAGCCCCCAAAGGTGCCACGTGCTTCGAGTGCGAGATCACCTTCAACAACGTCAACAACTACTACGTGCACAAGCGCCTCTACTGCTCGGGCCGCCACCTAACGGAGGATGCGCCCGCAGCGCGCAGGCCCAAAGGACCCCCAGCTGCGCCAGCACCTGGTCCCACGCCCCCCGAGGTTTTGCAGTCCCCACCGCCGCCAACACCTGAAGGCGATGCTGGCCGCTCACCGCAGAGCCCCGAGGCACGGGAGGCCGAGGCAGGCGCAGCCGGGGCCAGGGCGCACGCAGCGACCCCAGAGGCCGAAGCAGCCAGCCGGGGCAGTGAGGGCAGCCAGAGCCCCGGCAGCTCGGTGGATGACGCAGAGGACGACCCCAGCAGGACGCTGTGCGAGGCCTGCAATATCCGCTTTAGTCGCCACGAGACCTACACGGTGCACAAGCGCTACTACTGCGCTTCCCGCCACGATCCACCACCACGCAGGCCAGGACCTGGCGCGCCCCCGCCCATGCGCACGCGGAGACGCCGCAAACTCTACGAGCTGCACGCACCCGGCGCCCCAGCCCCAACAACACCCGGCCCTGCCCACCCTGTACCCGCCGAGCCCCCCACATCGCCCCGCCCTGGCAGCGGGAGTGGCCGCGCTCCCTCGCCGGTAGCCGCTGCCGAGGGCCCCATCGACTTGAGTAAGAAGCCGAGGCGCCAGGGCCCTGAGGGGCCGGCCGGGCCACCACCGTTGGCCGACTACCACGAGTGCACGGCGTGTCGTGTGAGCTTCCACAGCCTCGAGGCCTACCTGGCACACAAGAAGTTCTCGTGCCCCGCCGTGCAGCTCCGCGGCCTGCGTGCGCCGGACGACGCGGCCCCCGCCACAGCTGCTGTCGTGTGCCCCTACTGCCCCCCTAACGGCCTGGTGCGTGGAGACCTGGTCCAGCACTTGCGGCGCGCACATGGGCTGCTGCTTGGCAGGGCCCCGGTCGGCGGCCCCGGGGCGCCTGAGGCCCAGACACCACCCACCTCCCCAGCGCTGCACGGCTCCCGCGAGAGCCTCAATGGTCAGGAGCCAGCAGCCAGCAGCCCTCAGCCAGGCCCGCCTACACCTCCAACCGCAGCCCCAGACCACAGCCTCTCCCCAGTGCCTGACCCCCTGCTGCTGCCTCCGCTGACGCCCCCTGCACACTCGGACAAGGGTGTGCAGACACCCAGCAAAGGGCCTCCTGCGCCAGTGGTGTCCAGCGGCAACCACAGGTACTGCCGCCTGTGCAACATCAAGTTCAGCAGCTTGTCCACCTTCATCGCCCACAAGAAGTATTACTGTTCCTCGCATGCAGCGGAGCACGTGAAGTGACCAGGTCGCAGGGACAGGACTGCCCTCAGGCGCTGGGGACACATACACGCACCGAGCACGCAGCGGACCGGGACTGCAAGGGATAGCAGCCGCCTGGACCTTTGGCACTTAATAAAGACGTTCAATTTGACCACAGTGCTCGCCGGGCCTTGTTCTCTAGTGGAGCAGCAAGGGGGCCAGTCCCCTGGGCACCGGCGCTGTCCACAAACACCCGAGGGGGCGAGTTTGGGTAGTCCCCACTGCTCACAGGCCAGCAGGTCCCACGTGGTCAGGGCCTTTGCCAGAGTGGCACAGCAGCACCGCCCAGAGCTTCAGTCACGCTGGGGCCATAATATGTGAGTTCACTTGCTCTGGGCTCCTTCCTAACCCGACACAGACCCACTTAGGGGATGAGTATGAGGGGCTCGGCCACCCTCCTAGACCAAGCCAGAAACATCCTCCTGGCCACCATAGATTGAGGGCAGAGTCCTGGCTGCCCACGGCCCGCCCCCTGTCCCTTCCAGGCCCTGGGTGGTCTCTGTCCACATGACCACAGGAGAGGGCTGGAGCAGGCAGGGTAGGGCGATGTGACGTTTATGCACAGGGAGGCGGCAGGCAGGGGCCACACCTGAGCCTGGTCCCTGAAGCTTTCCTGAGAGCAAGGGGAGGGCCAAGTCCTGACCCAGACTCCACCTCTGTGGGTGCCCGCCTTGGAGAGCAGGTGAGCATGGCCAGCACGGGTGCCCAGAACCAGGTCTCCACATACGAGAGTCCCACAGGATCTCACAGGTCCACACGGGCCTGCCCAGCTCACCTCCAACCCCACCCTGAGCTTTCCGGCTGGCCAAAGTCACTTCATGGTCACTTGGGGTTCCTGCAGACCGCCTGGGTAGAAGGAGGGCAGGAGAGGAGCTCACTGCCCTTCCCAGGCTGGGACAAGCCCCATCCACATCACTGAGTGGATCATATGGAATGAGGCCCTAAACAGTGAGCTGACCACGGGAATGAAAACAGACTTCTCCAAAGGTGCACATGTTAGAGGGGAAAGATTACACACATGCTCACAAGTCACCTGTCCCCACGCATGGTGTCTCCCACACACATGCAGGCATGAATGAGCTCTAAGGCATGAAGGGTCAGGAGCCAGCCGCAGGAGAAAGCAGGAAGGAGTCACACCCCACAGAATTCCAGGCAGGCCTCAGCCTGTAAAGTGGGGAGAGGAGTGGGCGCATCCCCTCTGGCAGCTCAGTGCAGGAGGCAGTGTTGACCTATGACCCCACTGTTGGCCAAGGTAGGTCCTGGGAAGCTCCCAGTCCTACAGGCCACCGGAAAGAGGGCCATTGAGACCGGGGCACTTTGGGGCAGCATCCAGAGTCAGCAAGGACCCTGGCACCAGGTCCTTGGTCCCATGACCACCAGCACCGTTCTGGTGGTCCCCTGGCCCCCGCCCTGCCTATAAGGTCTCCACCTAGGCCAGGGCCCACCTGGGTCAGGGCCCACCTGGGTTGACACTTCCTCAGGCCCTGAGCCTATCCTACTTCTCAGGACTCAGCACCCACAGTATCGTTCACCCCTGAGGACCCAAGAGGGCTAGACTCTCCATCCACACCCTCTATCCTGTGCCCCAGGCCACAGCATTGTGGGCCTGTTTATTGAGGTCACAAGGGACAAATGAACAGAGCAACAAACAAATCTGCCATCAGTGCTTCCAGGATCCCAGCCACCCTGCAGTCCTCTCTGACCCTCCAAGCCATGCTGCCCAGGTCCTGTCCCTCAAGAGGGGTCCTCTGGGCAGAGTCCTGTCTGTCCGGCACCGAGCCAGCTCTCCACAGCCTCTCACTCTGCACAAGCCAACTCCAATGAACCACCTCACAGATGCATGTTGAGGCGGAGGTGGGCCAATGGAGCCCACTGCTCCCACCTCCCACACAAGGTCTACAACTTGGACAGGGTTCCTGGCCCTAGCTGCAGAGCCTCACACTGTCTGGCAAGAGAGGTGTGAGGTGGGGACCCCCAGGGGCTGGTGGTAGGCGCTGCTGGGCAGCCTGATGTGGGCTCTTCCAGGCGCTGCCCTTCTCTGAAGCAAGCCTGGCGTACCTGTGAACACCTGGGGGCAGTGGTGAACTAGGCATGCTGTCAGCTGGACAGAGGGTGGGTTTGAGTGAGAGGGAGAGTCCACAGTACCCCACCCTCTCCAGTGCAGGAAAATGTGGCAGGGAAAGTAGAAAGAGGGGGGCCTTCACCCACCACCTGCTAGTCCCCCAAGGATACCCCAGCCCACCCTGTGCCAATGCCCCTGCACCCCACCATCGACTAGGCGTCAAGAAGTCGAGTGGAGGCCAACAAGGACCAGAGCTGCTCCTGCTCCACAGAGTGGCCACCTGCCGGGTGGACCTGGGGCTCTGGAGCGCCCTCTGGTGTCCACATGAGGAAATGTGGTCTCTGATGTGTTAGGAAAACAGAAAACATGTTGCCCATGATTCTCCTGAGGAGCAGCTGGTGGGTTTGAACCATGTACCTTTGAGACTACAGCACAGCTTCTTACTATTAGGCCAGTGAGACCCCTCATTTTTTAAGCCACTCAGAAAAATGAGAGAAACATTCATTAATCATTGGAACATGGAATGGACAAAGGATGAATTTAGGAGAACTGAAAGTTGTGAAAAATGAAATGGAACACATAAAGGTTGCCATCCTGGACTTTAATGAACTACAATGCACTAGTACTGTCTATTCTGAATCAGACAATCACATGATCTACTATTCTGAATTCGACAATCATACAACCTGTACTTTTCTGGGAATGACAAACTGAAGAAAACCTAAAGATGAATTGCACTAGGAAAGTCTGCTGTCAGGGACCTCTCCAAAGTATTCAAGAGCAATGTCGTCAGCCTGGAAACTGGGGTACACCTGATGCAGACCATGGTCATCACAATTACTTGCTATGCATCAGAAAGCTGGACAATGATTAGGGATGATAGAAGGAGAATTGATGCCTTTGAGCTGTGATGCTGGAGAAGAGTTTTGAATATACCGTGACTGTTAGGAGAACAAACAGGTCTGTCCTGGGAGTGTGAAACCAGGCTGCTCCTTGGAGGCAAGGAGTCTTTGGACATGTTGCAAGGAGGGACCAGTCCTTGGAGAGGGACATCATGCTTGGGAGGGTGGAGAGACAGAACAAGAGATGAATTGACTCGGTGACTAGCGTAAGGAGGGTAGGTATGTCAGAGTCAATAAGGTTGGCTCAGAATAGAGCAGAGTACAGAGCTGTTGAACATAGAGCTCAGCTATGAGTTGCAAGCAAATCGACAGCACATAACAACAGCAACAACACCACCAAAATGAATGTCAGAAAAGACTCAGATACTTGCATTGGAATGTTGTTGTTGTTGTTATGTGCTGTCGAGATGCCTGCAACAGGTAACAACCCTCTGTACAACAGCTCTGAGCCCTGCCCTGTCCTGAGCCAGTCTCACTGACTCTGACACACCAACCCCCATTGCCTGTTACTGTATTAATTCATCTCATTCAGGCTCTTCCTCTCCTATGCTGTCCCTCCACTTTCCCAAGTATAATGTCCTTCTCCAAGGACCTGTCCCTCCTGGCTACATGCCCAAAGTATGTGAGATGGAACTTCAAAATCCTAGCCTCCAGGGAGAAACTTGGCTTCACCCTCTCCAAGACAGACTTGTTTTCTTGGCGGTCATGGTATGTTCAAGGCTCTTCTCCAGCAACACAACTCAAAGACATTGATTCTTCTGTCATCCTTAGTCATTATCCAGCTTTCTGATGCATAGCAAGTAAATGCAAAGACCATGGCCTGGATCAGGCGCACCTAAGTCTCTAGACTGACCTTGTTGCTTCTCAGTACTCTGGAGAGGTCCCTGGTAGCAGACTTTCCCAGTGCAAACCATCTTTTTATTTCCTGACTGCTGTTGCCAAGATTGTTGTTGATTGTGGAACAGAACAATTGTTAATGACCCCAATCTTTTCTCCTATCAAACTGTAAGGGGAGAGAATACACTTGGCATTTCTCAAGATGGAAAAACTGAAAGCCTAATCCAAGCTTGAAGTTGCAACTCTGAAGGATTCTAGGGGTAAAATCTTGAACGATGTAGGAAGCATCAAAAGATGGAAGGAGTACACAGAGTCCCTGCCTCCGAACCAGGTGGTTGCCACCGAACCATTTTAGGAAGTCCCATCTGATCAGAGGTTGGGCTCTTCTTCTGGAAGCACTTATTTGCTGACCGCCTCTCCCCACACCCACATCCTCCAAATAAAGTATTTGTCAGTTAAGATGACTTTTTAAAAACATTTTTAAAGCACATAAAAAAGATGGGATGAACAGTGCCCTCCTGTCTCTGCTCTCATTCCAACCAGTCACTCCTTTCCTCTTTCACCCCCCCATCTGAGCGCTGGCGATGCCTAAGGGTCTTGCAAAGGGAGCCACAGGTTAGCTCGGGTGAAGCTGAGGCAAGAGCGCTTTCTAGAGGCACTCTGTCCCTCCTCGCTGATCTCACCCTCCTGCTTGCCTTTTGCCTCATTTAAGAAAACACCTGCACTGAGGCACCAAACCAAAGTCACAGCCAAGATGCTGGCTCCGAGCAACCCCGAGGGCAGAGAAGAACCACACTCAGGTCTGCAAATCTCTGCTGAAGCAGACGCATCTCCCTGGTGGGTACAAGCACGTGGTGGAGTGGATCCACCAACCTTCTGGTTCACAGCCAAAGGTCTTGGCCTCTGCGCCACCAGGGCTCCTTATGATCCAGACATGGAGGAACTGCAGTTCTGATATCTGTGACCCCAAAGTGGCACTGCCTGCCTGGAATGTGCCCGTTGGACTGAAGCATCCTGGTGGCCTCTATGAGGTGGTGACTGGTGTCTAGGAACTGCAAGCTCAGTCCACCATTAGCTTCCAGGTCAGTAGGACTTTTCTGTGAACTGGACATTGGCTCACCAAGTTATTCTGCAGGACAGCAATGAGGGTGAACCCTAAGGGTTGATGGAAAGTTTGTCAT